TTTAAGATAGATGATTGATTATTATTATAATTATTTAATAAAGAAGTAGATTTAGAAGAAGAGATTGATTGATAGGCACTACTGCCCTCATAGTATGCTTTTAGGAGTTTAAAAACTGTGCTGAGTTTTGAACAAAGTTTTGTAACTCCTCAGCAGAAAGAGTATAATATGTAGGTTGAAGTTTTTGTTTGTTTGAAGATGATTGTAATTGAGAGTTATTTTTTGATGGTTGATAATTATTATTATTGATTTGATTATTATTATTATATTGAAAATTTTTTTTCTTTTAATTATTATTACCAAATTATTATTATTATTCCTTTGATAGCAATCACGTGTACTATGGCCCTGTTTATTACAAATTTGACAAACAATAGTATTTTGTTGTGAAGAACTATTATTTTGATTATTGTTATTGTTATTACGATTATTATTATTATTGTTATGATAGTTATTGTTGTTATTATTTCGAGAAATATTTGATTTTGGCTGAGGTTGCTGTTTAAAATAGTTTAAAATAGCCTGAACAGCTTGAGAAACTTCATTATTAGGCTGGTTATTAATAGGAATAGTATTATCAGGATGATGAAAAGAAGGAGAGTAATAGTTAAGATATCCTCTATTTAGAGAATAAGAACCAAGAGACATTCTTCGAGAGAAAGCAGCTTCAGCAGCTTTGGCACGAATTAAGGCCTGGGCTATAGTAGTAGGCAAGAAATTTTAACTAATTTCTGAATTTCACTTCTTAGTCTATCAATAAATTGGCGTAGTTTATCCTCTAATGGATATTGACTATTTGGATCAACTTTTTGATATAGATATTCCAATTCAGTATAATAATTCTCAACAGTTTCACCAGGTTGTTGAACTCGAGATTAGAGATCAGAAAACTATCAAGATTTTTGATAGGTAGTGCAAAATTGAAATTGAAATAAATAAACAAAAGATTAAGCTGGCCTTAGATCATTTTTCCAAAACTGAATCCTATTAGCAACAGTCCTCTACCAAGACTGTGCTAATCCTTTTAGATAAGCAGGAATAATAATTAATATTCGAGCCTCCTGAATATTATTAACAGAACATGCAGTTGCAAATTCATTTAGCCAATATACAGGATCCTGTTCCCCTCCTTTAAAAACAAGAATTTGAACAAGAAAAGATTCCTTAGAGGAATATGATTGTCCTTTTTCTATAGCTTTAACTAAATAGTTAAAGTGATATAGAAGTTGTTGAACTTGAGGATCATTAGGTATTGTTTCCTCAGGCAGATCCTTAAAATTGAAAGAAGATGAGTCATCCAACTTAATAGATGGTTGTTTATTCTTATTAGCTGATAATAAACTTATT